AACAAATGTAGGTTGCTTGCCTTATATCTTCACAAGTCAATGGCACTGATAACAGAGTAAATTCCCTCATCTTCATCGTCAGCTATTTTAATAACAGTCCCTACAGTGGGATGTCCCAGAATTAAGTTTATGAAACCACTCAAATCCCACTGCTTATTATCAAGGCAGGTCTGCAGGAGAAGCTTCACCCCGTGAAAGCCATCAGGCTTTGGGTCAAAAACCTCAAAGTCTGCTTGGACAGTAGTTCCCTTTCAAATAAATAGAAACGTGTCAAAAGCATAGACAAATCATGGCTACAAAGAACAAAGAGCCTGTCTGCTCTTAGTTTCTTACTTCAAACTCTTCATCACTGGAAGAATGAGAATGCAAGACTGTTCTTGTGTTTGTTTTTGAGCCCCATTAACTGGAGACACAAATTCAAGCAGTGAGATTTCAACCACCAAACTACTCTTTATATACAAATTGCTAAAAAAAATACTGCACCTGAGGAGTTGGGCAACTTTTTTTCCTGCAGTCCATTAGAAATGCGGGGTTTGACCTTGCTATGTGAGGTAAGATTGGCTACATATTGAGCAAATGGAGAGAAACCAAATGGGCTATATCTTGACAATCAGTGACGCCTTGTGGTTTTATGCTGCATTATAGTTTGTATTGATCCAGTAGCCCTGAATTTGAAACACCAATCACAAACATGTTATTTCATGCAAACTAACAGTGTCTATACAATATACAACTATACAAACGGCCAAATATTAATTGGTTGACTTGAACATTAAACCAGTTAACTGACCTTATATGAATGGCCACAGGGCTACCTAAGATTGTAAGAAAGCTAACCCCCAAATCACTGATAGGCAACTAGAATCTAGGTATACAGCAGTAGGAAAAATCCAAGGCCTCAGACACAACTCGGATACACACATGCTCTGGTGGTGTAAGGAGAGAGCCGAGAGATAGGTGCAGATATGGCAGTTGAGTCTTTCCCGGCATGGGCGAGATGCACATCATACGGAGCAAGGCCAGTCCTAAAGAAATAGGCCGAATGCAATGGAGAACTTTTGGGCCTTTTTATACCACTTGTGTAGCATTCTCATCTTCACATTAATCTTTTATGTGAATAGAGTATTATTTATAAGAAAAGTCGCATTTCCAGCATTTTTTTCTTTATCTTCTTGGGTTTCTTTATAATGATTTTTATTTTAATAGCTCCCTTTAGAGGAACGGTCAACTCAAAAGCATTCTTTTCATTTTAAGCTTCTCATACCCAAATGCATACTTTCTTGTAAGCATAATTATAATTTACAAGAAAGCACCAAAAGGCCACCTCTAAACCTTGTACATACTACATATTTTTTTCATCAATAAAATGGCCAAGTGATAAATGCAATTCTTTTTACTCACTATACATTGAAATTTCACTCTCATAGTTTGAGATTGGTTTGCAAATTGATTGCCATAAATGTGCCTTAAGATTAACAGTTTATAAATTAAATTCAAAAATTAATTTCAATTTTGTAAGAAATATTTGCACTAAAACTTAAGTCATTTCCCTAAATAGGACTTAAACTGTTTTATTCCCTAAATAGCACTTAATAATGTCCATTGATGGCGAACATTTACTTGAATAATGACTAATAGATAATGACTAAAAGTGCTACATTGGGAAGAAAAACATATGTGATGCTATTTAGACAAAGTCATTATGTTTTAGTGCTATTTACGTAAATTCCCCATTTTTAAATTTTAAACAAATAATTTTGGTTTTATATTCCAATTGATTTACGCACTAATTTTTTTATGTATCTAACGGAATATGAGAATAACGTTCAACTCGAGTGAATACATAAAGAATCAATAAATCATATAAATATGGTGCATTTTATAATTAATTCAATAAGTCTGCTGATTCTAACCCAATAAGATATCAAGCGTTAGAATCACCAACGCACCAGTATTTTCATTTACCCACAACTACATTAAACTACCAGTATTTCTTATCGGAAAGAGCTTACATACTGGCTATGTCAATCCTGCTACAAGCTTAATTTGGCTATTTTGTTCAATGAAACGGTCAACACCTCTGCTAAGGTTTTTGTTGATCATTTTCTCACTGCAAAATATGAGATCTTCACAGAAGTCATATTATGGTCTAATTACTTTATCCTAAAGTTGATGTTCTCCATTCAGGTTCTAATGAGTTTTCAATCCCGCAAAGAACGTTCCGTTGTGTTGTCATTGATCTTAACAATGGTTGGATCCAACACCTAGGCAATAGACACTCAATTGTACGGAGTACTTTGTTAGACTGAGGACTACATATTTTTAACCACCACATAAAACAACAACATCAAAACCAACACGAGTATTCACACATTAAGATCAAACTGGGCCCAGAATACTAACAATGCTTGGATCCAACACATAAGCAGTAGACACACTCAAATGCATCCCCACAATGTACCAAACAAGTAGCCCAAAACCCTCACAGCCTCATCAGAGTCACAATGAAAAAAAGTATATATTCACCCAAAAGTTCATATAAAAATTTAAAACTATTCTCCATTTTCTCCTTTTTTACTTTTTTTTAAAAACAAAGAATCATATAATTTTAATATATGTGCGTAATCATTAAAACTACAACTTCTATTTTAAAAAAATATATCATATCTAATAGTTAAAAAAACTTATATAACACATACCATATAATTATTATAATATTAAATAAATAAAATTATACGGAGTATTTTATTTCAAAATATGGAATATAATCTAATCAAAATGTTAAAAATTTTAAGAATGTATATGAGTTCGTGCGAAGCACGGGATTAGAGCTAGTGCTTTAAATAATCTCTAGGAATGCAATGTAAGCCTCTTTGTAAGTTTCCTAATTTATATAGGGTTTCGAACCTTGAGCTTTTCCTAAATACTCCTTGAGCAAAACAACACCACTCTGAACATTTTCCCTGAAAAGAAAAAGTAGAAAAGTGTTTAGCACTCCTATACACCTTATACATATTGATTATTTTCCACAGTAGAAACTTCAAACATTAGATGCAATCAAAGAAGCATTTATATTGAACAAATTAGATCTAAAACACTTCTTTAAGGAAGAAGCAGAAGAATATGAGTATGTGCTCAGTAAGGTAGTCTATCACAAATATAATGGCTCACCAATCCGCTTTATAATTCTTTGCTGCATAATTCTTCCCAACAGAATACGTAGTTAATAAAAAATGGCCTCGCAGCTACCCTTAAAAACAGCATATCTCTCACCTTTGTAAAACTGTAGCCAAGAAGTGCACTGCGATCAGCTTCAATCGTCCTCATCAGTGATCTCATATGCATTAAGCCCAAGCTTCTTAGTGCCAGTTATAAGATGCTTCTCAATTTCAGCTTTCTTGAAACTACAGAAACAGTTTCGTGAATCATGAGTCGGAGGAAAATTCGCATTTCTGGAGGTTTTTTCAATCTTAATTAATGGAGGTAGTCTTCAGTTCTAACCACCGGCTTTTCCCCTTGAACAAAAAGAAAAGCACTGTGATCTTCATTCGTCCTCATCCGTGATCTCATATGCTAAAATCCTATTAAGAGGAAGCCCAGGACTTCTGTTACTCACATTAAGCCCAAGACTCTTTGTGGCAGTTAAAAGACGCTTCCCAATCTCAGCTTTCTTGACCTTGCTTGAGACAACAGAAACAGATTCACTGGCCAGAGGAACACTTTGTATCACTGGAGGGATCCTCAGTGTAAATGGAGGTGGTGTACAAATATCAAATCCGAGACAGTTATCTTCAGTCTTAACAATCGGCTTTTCTGTTTGTTCGCCTTCAACTTTTGAATAGGAAAACACCGAAGTTGAGTTCACCTCATCATAACAGGAGAAATATTTCGTAATAATACCCGAGACTGACATGCTTTCTGATAATGCATCATAATTAAATTTCTCATCCGACAAAATGTGCAGCTTATTTATTGAGCACGAAATAGCAGCATTATTTTTCCTAACTCTTTTCCTTTTACTATTATGTAAAAAGAAGAACCACCGAAAGTTGAAGTGTGCCAATCTATTGCTGATTAACCTTTTCATCATCATCATCCTCCTCCTCCTCCTGCATCTTGTCCGGGGAGTGCTTGTAAGAAAAATCTCAGGTTCACCATCCGTTGAACAATCCTTGGTAACTTCAGGCGATCCAATTGGGTCAGCAATGCTAGAATTACACACTCTAACCTGCAGAAACCATTCTCCTTTTGTGTGCTGAAAAGCGTGCTTTAAGGGCAGAGTATCAGATAAGTGGTATAAGTTTGATTTCCTTTGGACCTGTAACAAAACATAACAATAGTGAATACAAATGCCATTAATGTTGGGTATGAGTAATATTAGTAATAAACTAATAATCCCATAAACTGTAAAGACAACAAAGAAAACAGTCAAGAAGAACATCAAAATATACCATCAACCCATTTGCCACAATTTCTCCATGTTCAGGGAAACAATTCAAGTGTGCTCTCTCAAATACTCCTAAAAAAACATCAACACATACTCATTACACCATCATGAAACCCACAAATCATCATTTGCAACGTATTTCGAGCCATAAAGCTCTTCTTAATTAGCATCAGATGTCCAAAAACCAAATTGCGTATATCAAAGTGCAGACTGTTCTCTCTCAATTCCTCTAGCAACTTAGCATGTCGAATCGAAGAACGGCAAAAACCTAAATTAATTTTTGAATAAATTTAATGTCTGGACGCACCCTGATTTTAAACTGGGAATTCCAAACAATTCCGCCCATTATTTCGAATGATTAGTACTCAACTATTGCTCTCTTCTCATTTCTTCTTCTTTGCCCAAAACACGTGATGACACATACATAGATAGATCAATGGGAATATGAATGGTAAGCACTCACTCATGAAATCTCTGGCGGTGGCGTTGGGAGAAATAGGGATGGCGAGGCGAGTGGGGATATTGGACTCCGCGAATACTGGCCATTCCAAACTTGAAGAAGAACACATTGCACAATATATCTGGCGAGTTCCTCTGATGAAGAAGAATGATACTCCCTCCTTCTACTCCTTAGAGTTATAAGCCCAACTTTTTTAAATTTTGAGGATGAATATACTCCGTATAAAACTTAAATCACTCCTTGCCTTTTTTTTTTGTAGTTATTTGATAGTTTTAGGACGAAAGGAGTAGTTACCATGTTGAGTATTTTTAAATTACTTTATATGAAAAATAGTATGGAATTAAAAAATAAAAATTACATATTTAAAAACTACATTAAAAGATTTACAAACTATAGTATTTTATCAAATAGGACATGAAATAGGCCAATAAAATAAATAAAGTCTAAACCTGTCAATAGTGTACGAAAACTTTATTGTTAGACGAAGAAAATATTAAATTATATCAATAAGTTTATTAATATACCATAATAAGTTTATTTTAGAGAAAAAACAAGTTCATTTTAGATTATTGTATTTTTATATAACATATACTCCCTCTATCCCAATTTAAGCTGTATATATCGATTTTGACGGAAGTTATTTTTCAAATTATTTTATATGAAAAATGGTGTAAAATTAAAAAAGAAAAATTATATATTTAAAAACTAAATCAAAAATCTACAAAACTAGTGCTGATAAGACTATTATTTTATGAAATGAGTAACAAAAATAGAGAAAGAAAATGAATAAAGTTTAACCATGTAAATAGTAAACAAGAAATTTAATTTGAGACGTGGGAAGTATCTATCTATATATAAAAATATTTAAAGGTAAAAGTATTCCATCCAATCATATTTTCAACGTAAAAGATTCTATCACATATTTTGACCAAATGCCTTCCATCGCAAAATGTTGTAAGTTTGAACTTGATACTGCCAAAAAAGAAAAGTGTAAAATTTAGTTGTATAGAGAGTATATATTAATCGTACAGGCTACGTAATTCCATATCAATTGTGTATGATCCAGGCCGAGTGTGCGTGAGACCCTAACAAAATCCACTCGGTCCCTACAAAACATAAGCACTTTCGAGTAAAATATCACTAAGCGGCGATAAGCTATTTACATTAGGTTGATATATCACTGCTATATAACCTACTAACTTGGCAATGCCAGTCTGGGTTTCCAATGGTGTATTGATTGCTTCCAAGATGGGATAGTGCCATTAAAGCCTTTTAATTTGGCAATGGCAGTCTGGGTTTCCAATGGTGTATTGATTGCTTCCAAAATGCGATAGTGCCTTCTAGTTTGGCAATGGCAGTCTGGGTTTCCAATTGCGTTTTGATCGCTTGCGAGATGGGATAGTGCCACTAAAGCCTTCGTGTTTCCTCTTCGACTCATTAGCACTCGAGCTCTGAGCCGCATCATATTTCACAATGTTGGTTACAATGGCATGGATAAAGATGTTGGTTTTGGGAACCAGGATGGCATCTCTCTCAATGAGTGCAGTCTGCCCACAGCTTGGGTCGGACATAGCTTCTCTCCTTAGCTTATCAAAAACCAGGTTCTCCTCGTCCTTGAAATTGTTTGCAGAAACCTGTCATTAAAAACCCTATATCAGCTCTACTTCCTATACAAATGTTGTGTCCTAATATTCTTTGCTGGCTGTTTCATGTCAAAAATTGTCAGTGGAAGGCTACAAGACGGGGACCAGGGCTTGCCCTTTAGTTCTTTTAGAGGGTTGTGAAGTGGGTAAACAAAACTCACCGTAAAATCAACTGGAATTGTGATTTCAGTAGAGACGCATTTGCAACCCTCGCTGAAGTTAATTTTGAGAGTTACGTCAAATGGGTTTGATGTCTTCGCTGTCCTCCTGAGAAGAAGAAACACAACTTCAATGAGGGTACCATATTTTACAACATACCAAGTTAATTCCAAGTAGAGAGAGGGTACCATATATATTTCCAATGACTATAATCAATATCAAATCAAGTTTTGCATTCAGTTTGATACTTGGCTGATTAGAAGGAACCTCAAGGCAACTACTTTTTTGCAGGGCCATTGCTAGTTTCAGATTCAAGTACCTTTTGAAGATTAAATGATATACTCCCTCATCCTTAAATGTATTAAATGCATAATTAGTTTATTGAAAATTTATACTCCCTTCATCCCAAATTGATATTCCCTATTCAAACAACGTGCAAAATCCGTGTCTTTTAAAATAATTTTATTTACAAATCGATATAGAAATGAAAAAAATATATATTTAAAAACTATATCAAAAGTTCTACAAAATGAGACGTGATAAGAATATTTTTATTTTATCAAGTGATCAATAAAAAGATGCAAACAAAAGCTATCGAGAGACCGTAAGAGGTAAATCATTCATTTTGGTACAGGAGTATTTAGATTTTAAAATATAATTTATCTAGTTTATTAAAGCTATTTAAAGTTTCAATATAGTAAATAGCTTTTTGCGAAGGTAGTATAATAGTCGCACTGTACAGGACATCAAATTGCCATCATGATATAATACTTTTTTGCTGTAGTTCATGATTTGAAGATAAATTGTGACAAGCAATCATGGCCCTCGTGATCTATCTAGATTACATTTTTGCTGCTGATTAAATAGCAGCCATCTACCAAGAAGAGGTAAACTTATGCACCTGAAGAGAAGTTAAGCTACCTTTTGAGACGAAGAGGTTCTTTATCTAGAATAGTTGCTTTCATGTTTTGACTCTCAGAGAAGAAAACCTAGAATGCCATCCCAAATGCACAATAAAATGTTAGCCCCAAGTAAAACTAAATGGACAAAGTGCTTGAACAAGAAAATATCAGTTTGGCTCACTAAGGGTTGAACTCGTCTCGTTTATTTGAGATATTGACTTGGTACTCGATTCATAGACGAGTAAAGTTGGCAATCTGCAGGTCAGGTTTGGGTTCGGTGTCACTTTGGATTCGGGTTAGTTTGGGTTTGGATTGAGAACTATATGATCATGACCCAATGTCATCGGGTTCGGGTCGACCCAACGGGTTATGACTTTGGTTTTTAAAATTTTTAAATTCATGTTAACACCTACATTTCACATCAAATAAAATTAAAATACAAAAAATATGTATTAAATCTATTATAGTATTTTTATTTTAAATTGTGAAGTAATTTTTAGGCATACAAATCAATATAAAGAATTTAAAAATGCTTAAAATATAAAGTGTTGTCTCTTGGTCAATTACAGAATCAAAATGCAAACCTAGAGCACAATCTCTGTGTATATTACAGAGTATGTGGTTATGAAACTTATTAAATGAGACCAGCTTCAAAGCGTCAATTCTAGCACAAAAAACCGGTATGAAAATGAAGACACTATATATTGCATATAATCTAGTTTCTCATGGGAATGAAGAGTGAAGACACTATATATTGCATCTAATCTAATTTCTCATGAGACAAAGCACATTGAAGTTGAATGTCATTTTGCCTTAGAAAAATATGGATTATAGAAAGCCGTAGTTTTGACTGGATATGTGAAGGCAGAAGATCAGTTATGAGATCTCTTTGCTAAAGCACTTAGTGGGGCTCGAGTTAATTATTTTTGTAAATTGCAACTAGTTGGGCAATTAGGATTGATAAATGTATACGCTCCAACTGGGCCGGAACCAAACTATGTCCACCCCTAGTTAGAGTTCAGCCAAGTATAGTTAGTCTGTTAGATAATAGATACATACGGTGTTGTACAGTTAGAAAAGTTGTAAAGGGAATACTGTGAGCACTCCCAACAGTGTTGAAAAAAAAAACTTCCACACCAATCTCTCTCTACATTTCCCCTCTCATCCAGATCATTATTATGGTGTGGAAATTTTGGTGTAGAAATTGCATCCCATCAATGAGAAAACAAAAAAAATCTCCTATGGGACCCATGTCAAGCAAGGAGTAGATTGAGAGATAAAGTTGGTGGACAGAGGTGGGTCATTCAATGAAATCTGCCAGACTTTAAATTCCTCCTTGTGCGTGGAAAAAAAAATCTCACGTGGAAATTGAACAAAACAAACTGGCGGGATAAAAAAATAAAACATGCGGAAGAAATTTTCTCAGTAACGTGAAAGCTCTAAGACCAAAACCTGGCAATAGGACCATGAATCTAAACTGTTTTTTTGTAATGTCAATATGTCATTCATTCAATAATGTGAAATACACTATTTGATTCTCCTATTTTCTTGATCATACGGTTATTACAAAGTCATTTATCGATATCTTTACATATTGAAATGGGATCTGTTAGGTGAACTCATGGATGGAAGGAATCTAAACAAAACAGTTATGTTGCTCATGGAAGAGAAATAGCACAAAATCTCAGTATATAAGATAAAGCGCAACAGAATATAGCTAAATCTTACCTCCACAGATTTGATAAAAGGCAATGGGGCTTTATTTCCATGGATGCTTGCTAATCTAAGTGTCCAGTTAACATATTTTTTATCTACAACATAAGTAAAACATACTATAAGAGAGAAGCACATAAATCTGAACCTATGAGTGAACATACTGCAATCAGTGAAACAAGATTAAAGTAGATATAGAAGACAAGTGAGAAAGATTCGAACACTTCCAACCTTCAACTTGGGTAAACATAGCACATACTGTAAGTAGAAAGTAAGTTAAATTATTGAAAGGGAGACGAGTATTGATCTAAAAACTTTACCTACACTTAAGGCTTGAGTAAAAATGGTCCGGAAAAGATCAACTCTAATAAAAGGTGGGATTTGCATTTGTAGAAAGTTCATGACCCCTGCAATTACCTGTTCATAATCATACTTGTGAACTTCTCAGCTTTCATGGTTGGTTAATATTGCACACCATTTCTTAAGATAGATCAGATTACAATAAAAATATAGAGGATACCTTATCTACAAATCCACGAATTATCAAACTAGCTTTCTTATCCTTTGGGGTTTTCTGTAAAACAAAGGGTGCTTAGTCAAGAAGAGCTGCCACTAAGAATACTATAAATGCATGAGAAAATACCTACCACATAAATTATTACCATGATTAACTCAAAAGTTAATACTCATTTAAAACTATTTACTCCCTCCGTCCTAAAACTTTCTTTTCACTTCCTTTTTTTCTTGTCCTAAAACTACCTTCCCTCACACTAAAAAAAGGATGTATAATGACATTTATACCCCTCAACTTTACTCTCTCGCCAACAACCGCACCTTAGGCCAATCTCTCGCCTTCTCTTCACTCTGGTCTTTGTCTCTCTAAACTCTAGATCTATGTTTCCTCCTCTCTCTGTCTGTCCTTCCCGCCCTTTCTCCATCTCTCCTTCTCTCCCACTCTCTGTAACTTCACTCTCCCATAAAATCCTAGATCTATTCTTCACACCCTTCATATGGATTTCGCTGGAGAGGAGATTCACAGAAAGATCCAAGATTTTGGGAGAGGTGATTTTATCTCGCTTCATATGGGATTGATCCATCAAGAAGGTTACCGGACATGAAGATTGAAGCTAGTTTTGTTATATTTCTGAACTCACTTGAAATGGGTCTGGGGAGATTTGCCCTAGAAATGTCCAGGCATTGAATCTCCACCAAATTACCGAATTGCCACGGGATAACTCCTTCATATAAGTTGTATCCTATTTCCATGTGGGTTAAAGGTTTGAGCTTTCCCAGTATTAATGGGAATTTTCCAGCGAGAGAGATCTCCAGTGAGTCGTAATCAGAAGTCGGAAGGGAATGAAATGCCTTAGTTTTTATTTCAATGTTTTTATGGAGGCCTAGAGGGGCAAAATTGGAAGTCAAAGCAAAATTAACTAATCCCTTAAAAATGGCCTAAAGTCAAACCGGGAAGATGGTTTTAGGACAGAGGAAGTAGTTCATAGGGGAGCATTTTGATTTTTGAACATTGTATTTTGTTTTTACATAGTTGATGCACATTTCAACCTTTTACAGCAAAAGGCTGCTTCACAGGGTCTCTTGTGTTTGCCCATTTAAAAAATTTCAGATTACAAGCATGAACAAAGGCTAAAATTGTTTATAACTTTATATGTACAAACACACAAGATTAAAGAACTCAAGCTATTTTGTATTTCTCCTATAATGCAAAGGTATTAACTACCTAAGTTTGAAATTACAGGGACTTGAAATAAAATCTAAAGTACCTAGGGTAGTCATCAAAAATTTTGGTTAACGTACTACATTTAAGATGTGATACAGTGGCAATCAAGATATTCTGAAAGTAGCAGAGAAAAGAATAGATGTACCTGAAGATTTACTATTACTATTTTACCTCCATTCCGAAGGCATCGAAGAGGCAAATTACATGCAGGAGTTATCTGCAAACTGTGAAGGTAACTGGAGTCAAGACTCAAGGGTAGTCTTAAATCAATAATACTCTATGTTCAAAGCATGTGCTACTACAAATCTACCATATACGGTACTGCAAATATCAGGTTAAAATTATAGCATTAGCACTGGAATTGTAATTTTGAAATGAGCATCACAAATACAGTTGATAAAGCTAATTAGAGACCACATATTTGTAGAAGGGCTAATACAGTTCACTACTTTTTTGTCATTGGGCCTTGATGGAATAAAGCAAAATGACTCTTTAAACTGTCAGCACTTCTTTTATAGTGAAGTAGTAGTTCGTCAATGCAACTTTCTATGAATCTATGATCATCATGGGTCATCTAGAAACAACCATTCTATGTTTTAAACATAGGGGTCAAGCTGCATACATCCAACCCACCCTTACCCCACAATGGGCGGGAGCCTTTGAGTACTGGGCTAATGTTGTTGTTGTAAATTTGTGGAGGGGAAACATGGGAAGTTCTAGCAAGAAAAGGAAAGATGTGTTAAATAGAAGATGGTTGTGGGTTACCTTGTACCTAAACATAGCACAAGATCGGCCATTTTGCAATGCTTTTCTGCTAGATTTATCTCTTTTTCAGGCAAGGCATCCTGCAAAGTGGAGAGAAGTGTTAGAAATCATACCAACAATAAAATGGCACATCAAATAATAATCTCATTGTGATGCAGGAAAAGGCCACTTCCCTCTATGAGCAGAGAAAAGATCAAGTACTTCAAATGTGTCATTTACTGGAAACGTGCATATTTGAACCCACTGGAAACTTTTGATGTTCATTAGACAAGAATTTTTGCAATCCGTCAAGTAAAATCGGTTTTTATATAGTATGTGAACATATCTCCACAAGAGCTCTGCTATCATGTGATATCCATGTTTGAGATGGTGTAGGGTGAGTTTGAGACATTTTGTGGTTAGTACGTAAAGGGTACGCCTCGAGGCATTTCAGGTTAACCATAGTTATTTAAGGCGCGATGCGCACCGATGCACAAAGGGGCTCTAGTGCCTCAATGCGCGATTGATGCGCATGGATCACTAACACAATGTGCACATTGAAGCATAAGTAGCATAGCATCTCTAAAATAGTAATAGTACATATAAAATGTTGAAAAGCATACAAAAACTTTAGAAAGCAACCAAGAATCAAAGTATAAACTTCATGGATTTTATTACAAATTAGGCAAATGGTGTCATTCCTATTTGTTTTTGTGACCCTCGAAACATACATCCATCCGGGATCATTAGAACCTAAAATTTAGAGATTTTTACATTATAGAAACTTGAAAGAGTGTACAAAATATAACTACAAAAAGGTAAAAAGGGGGAAACCTCACAAAAAAACTGGAAAAAAAATTGTAAAAACAAATAATACAAGGAGCGACTAACTTACTAACCTTATTCTCAAATCTCATATACTAGTATACTACATCAATTTTTATTCTCAAACCCGACAAATATATATTAAATTTCATTTCAAAGCAAAACAGAAAGATAAATAAAAAACTGAAATTGAAAAAAAGAACTCGTACAATATTAACTCAATTCTCAAATAATTTACTACATCAGTTTTTTTCACAAATGTAAAACGCATAAAAAAATCAAAAGCAATTGAAGTTAATAAAAAAATAATTAAATAAATAAATAAATAAGGGGTCGGATCTGGACTGGGACTTCAACGCAGTCCAAGTCGAGAAGTGATAGAGTTCTAGGGTTTTTTAATAAATGAAATATGGGTCGGTCTTTTAGGGCCGGGTCCTGAAAAAACATAGTCTACTTCGACCAGCAGTCGATTACTCTAGGCGACACCTTTCTGACGGCAACCAGTCGTCACTAATCTATAAAAAAATTAAAAAAAAATAAAATTTAAAGATGTGTACGTGATGCGCGCCCTGTAGCGCCTCAGATCGCACCACATGGTGCGATGATGCACAGTTATGCGCGCGCCTCCTGTAAGTCGCCCGCATCACAAAGCTTGATGCACAGACCCCTGCACTTCGTGCGCATCGCGCCTCAGGCACGCTTTTCACAACTACGAGGTTAATGTGCAAAACTATTTTAAATAGAAAATCAATCAATAACAAAATGAAATTAGTTGTGGATACTGTCAAATCAAATGTGGATAACAACAATAGCGAACCAAGTAAGATCTAACAGAAAGTAGAGTCTGGGGAGGGTGTGCTTACACAAACCTTACCCCTATATGAAAGTAGAGAGATTGCTTCCAAGAGACCCTCGGCTCCAGCAATAAAGAAGATACGGAGCAAAAATGAAGAAGCAAAGAACAAACTAAGGGCAATGAAAAGTGCACAAACACAAAAAGCACGCAAAGTCGCAAACTGCATCAGGCAACTAGATCCCAAGCACAGAAAGCACTCAGAGACAAGAGCAAAAACTACAACCAAGACCCAGATAGCTACCCAACTATCCAAGTCGGCAAGTCCTAAATCTCAAGACGCTACTATCTAAGGTCAACACTCAACACACAACTGGAGATTGTCAAATAAAATTTACACAAAGGTTGCTAACTAGTACAATAAAAGATTGATGAAAATCAAGCTAAAGAGTTGGAGGTCTCTTGGAAATAACCTCTCAGCTATCAAGTATGGGATAAGAGGGGTAAGGTCTGCTTGCACACAACCTCCCTCCCCAGACCCTACAGTTTGTGGGACTTTCCTTGGTTTGTTGTTGTTGAAAATAAAGATAAAACATAGAAGTTAATAAATAAGGAACTAAATTGATAAATAGCAAATAGAAGAAAAACACACCTACCTATTGTATAACTTGTGGTTGAATTCACTTGATCAGATCTAAGATAGTGGAGGAAAGATGAAGCTGAGGTGGAAGGACAGAAGCCCGAATTGGAAGTCACACGACTGATTGTTTAATAAGTCTTTATTGTACAAAAGTTTTAAAAAAGTTTGATTGGTCTGGTTAATATTCATCTACTAATCCGTATTTTTTAGAACTTAACAAACAAAATTAAGGGTTAAGCCTCACAGCTGACAAACCAGTGTGATTACCACCATATGTGTAGTATCCTGGAGGCCTAGCTATAGGGCTTCAACTCTCGAAAAAAGCCTCAAGGTTCCGGCAGTACACCAATTCAAACATTGTGTTGTATAGTCCACTGTTACTGAATTTTAAGACTAATGAAGCAGTGCATCAAGTGTTTGAAGGAAATAGCTCTTTACTTTTACAAAGGTAAGACTGTGTGCATCTTGACCCCCAAACCTCAATAGAGTTGGGATTATACTGAGTGTGTTGCTGTTTAAGACTGTAATGGAGAAGGTAAAAATATATTTTACCCACCGAGATTATGGTCGATTCAATTTATCTCAGCTTTGTTTCCTAACTCCTAAATACTAGATATATACGAAGTATTATACTACATAAAACACAAACAGATTATTCACTTAACCTAACACTCAAAACAGATACACCAAAGACTACATCACACTAGTGCAAGAATAAGAGTTCCAACACAACCATAAACTTTGCAAATGCTTCAATAAAATGTACTCGTTATTACATAAATGTGTAGGAAGGGTTTGTGTGTGTGTGTGTGCCCGTGTGTGAGTGTGTTTGGGGTGAAAGGTCTTTAGATTAGATTAAGCTATAAAACATGGTAAATAATTTTACATTACCTCCCAATCAAGAACTGTGTCTCTAAGCCTTGCACTACAACCCACTTTTGTACAATTTCGTGTTGTCTCCTTCAAACCAATTGTTTCTACTTCAAAGTCTCTCATATACCTTTCATATTAGTTACATAGCACAAATTTTGAGTGATGCAAATGTGTACTGAAGGACAACGCGACAGAATGAAAAAAATGCACGGTAACCAAATCCAAAACTCTTTTAATTACCAAAAAGTCATGAAAGACCAGTAATCCCTCACTCCAAAAAGAGTTGTGTTTAGAAAGCTTTTATGGCACAAAAGAGTTTATGTCATCAGAAGAAACTCTTGTTTTATGCAATTTGTGCAAAAGTTACAAAGAAGTTGCTTATGACTATCATTTATTTTGCACTGTGCTCAGTGTGACTATGAACAAGGGTGTGCCATTGCCCATCTCTTAGTCTTTCCATTGGTTATAATGAGGGTGGCATAAGCATTAAGGTGTTGCAAATCCTCAGATGTTTTGGATTGGTGTCTTGGGCTATCACACAATATTAATCTCGTGCTCTCTTTTATGATACACAAAATAATATGTATGTTTAATCCAAGAGTTGAAAATTATATTGGTCTTCATAAGATCAATTCCTATACCTCGTCGCAGTACATGATCCCGTAACCTTCAAAGAAAGTTGTTTGTGTGGACTAAGTGGAAGCAACGATAGTTTGCGCTGCTCAAGCTAGGCATCTACGAAGTATAATCCTGATCAAGAGTCACCATTCACATTGCGATATATCCAAAGTTCATAAAAAATATTTCTGCTGCGTCATCTTGGCTTAATTTTGAACTATGGTTCAGTCCACGTAGTTTGTCGTTTTTTGTCTCAAACTTGATATGATGTGCGCTGAAGCAATTCTAAGGACTCAAATAGGTGTGTTTCTTATTGCCTTGATGAGCCCATGGCACCCATGGTGTGGTGAAACTAGTTGTCATGTTAGTGGGAAAAGTTGGTATTGAGGCATGTGGGAGACTTTGGGATGCCAGACACGTGCTTGCACATGAAGCTGGACTTTAAGCACGTGAAATGGCATTAGAACATGTCATACATATATTGTTTATGTGCCAAGAAATGCTACACTAGGTGAAGGCGTGAAGCTCTAAGCAACGAACATTTGTAGGGTTAGTTGGTTAACATCAGGGGGGAAGGCATAGCAACAAGCAAATGAGAGTGTCAATTTACGGGACCTAACAAAAGCATGTTGTAGGATAAATGGAGCAGGAGATAGCCATAAAATGTGATGATCCTAGGGTGTAGTATTTGCCTAGCACAAGGTTTTGTTATAGAGAGGGTGGTACCAACATGTAGGTATTATCATTCACTATATGCTTCAGTTGGGCAGAGTTATGCATGCCAACCTTGTTTAGTCTGACACGTTTGTTACTAGACTTTGACTTATGATGTGAGCTGAAGTGATCCTAAGCACTCACCCTGGAAACTTTTTTGAGTTCCCTAATGAGTAAATGACAAGGCCAAACTAATTGAAATGTTTGTGAAAAAGCTGGTCATGAGGCATGCAAGAGATCTTCACATGTCACACATGTGCTTGAATATGGCACCATCCATTAAGTCCGTGACATATGGAATCAGAGCAAGTTGTACGTGTGCATTGTTTATGTACTGAGAAAAGCTTCGCTCTTTTGAGCAGACATGGGATTTCCAACAGGCAGATTGGAGTGTCAATTTGTGGGGTTTGAAGCATGTCCTGAACTTGACTATGACATGGGCTGAAGAGATGCTAAGCACTCAAGTGGTTTGGGATTGTCCAAGGTTGCATGTTTGTGGGAAAGGCCAGTCTTGGGACGCTGCATAGCTGCTTGCTAATCACACTAGACTTTAGTATTGCGATACTAATAGATTTAGTTAAATCAATAAATTAATTTTTGAAAATATAAGTAAGATTCAATGACTTTTGACAGTTGTAAAACAAGACCAATGCACCTAGTGTATTTAGAGGTACAAAGGCTTTTGACAGTTATATTTTGCCAAAAGTAAAATGTTGTATCTTGACCAAACATGGCTTTATGAGAATGAGGGAATACTACGTATAATACACTAATTATAAAGTCGCAAGTTGCATATGAAATGTAAGCCTTACTCAACTCCGCACGGACAAATTTCCATGAATGAATTTCCATGTAGCTCAGAAAGTTTCTCCCTTGGAATGCCAGATCGGAGATGAATGCCATCAATATTCTTAAATTTCAATAAGTGCAAAGAAAGATATATTGTTAAAAAAGTGAGGTTCAAGTTGTCAACATAAGAAGGGATGGAGTAAGACTGTAAAAGGACATAACAGAAGAAAACCTCACCTGACTAATAATAAACTTTAGAATACCAGCTTTCTCTAATCCAACCAATGCCATATGAGTCAAGCTAGGCATTGCACGGTGAAATGGCAATGATGCCTTTGGCATAGCTTTTCCTTCTTTCTAGAATGTAGAAATAAAACAAAATGTGTGCACATTCAGCATACTTTCATTATTTCTTGTCTTAACAAGCACCGCTGGAACTGAAATGTCTCAATTATGCATGTGCGCATACATATGGCATGCATTTCAACAAAAGATTAGAGAGCAATATAAAAGTAGAATTCCAGTATGCCCATGAATTCTTAATTGACTAGATGAATTTCAGTGAATATAATCGAAGTCATTCAAGATAAATGTTTCAAATCCAATAGAGCATTTTACTAAGGCATCTTGCTCATTGTTATAAAAATATTTTCCTCGTCAACCATGAAGAGAGAGGTTCATCCAGATTATTTTTAGTTTTGTTTTTAGAAAGGTTTCAATTTCCAAATTGACTAGGAGTTATTATATCATGTAGATTAATATGCTCAAGTAATAATGAGGAATTCCCCCACTTCTAAAACATTTAACACCATTACCTTACCTGAAGTGTCCAGATACCATTGGGACCACGGAAGTCGGGAATACCACATGAAGTAGATATTCCTGCTCCAGTAAACACCACTAAATGCTTACTCTGCATAACAAAACCATACAAGTAGTTTGAGTTGAACGTGATTCCTGAAATGCATTCAGAACGTGAAAAAAACACATATTACACTAAATTATGGTAAGATGCCCACCTTTCTAATCATCAATGCAAGTCGGTCAGCCTGCATCTCAAAACAAAAGTCATAATGGTCAGTTAATTGTGAATAAGCTGAGTATATCACAATCACAATTGTAGTTGTCGGAATTCATAAATTGCTGACTGAACACCCTAAAATAAGAGCAATTTCGGCAAAATATATGTGGTGACCTTCGACTACATTTTAAAAGAAATTTATTGCGCTAAAAAAGCTCAATCATCAAGACTTCCAAGGAAAACCATGAATGCACTTTCCCTAGTACACCTACCATAAAACACAAGAATTATATGCTATGGCTAACTTCATCTACAAGTAGCCCGTTCACAGAATGAAAAAAAAATCCTAAGAGAAGTGCCAACCGTTCATGTTTCCCGATTCGACATTCACCTGATTATAACTAAAGCTTACACTTCAAAGCACAAAACATCAGGAAACAAGGCTTCCCCAGCAAACAATCACACCTCAAACTAGTGATTCGGCACACGAAACAAACTAATTCTCCTAAGCAATTATGAGATAACGAGAACATTCAAGAAAAAGGAGAAAGACAAAATTTATGCGTATATAAAGGGGTTTGAATCCCACTTTCTCCTGGAGAACATGGGGCGGGTCGTAATACTCCGTCATCCCAACGCTGCCAACATCTTCTATGTAAGAGAGCTTCTCTGCGTAGCCCAGAGACATGCCTGCTGAGTTTTCTCAACAGAGAGAGTTTTCTCTTCCCTTCTCACAGTCCCTGCCAGAAAATGTTGATCAAGGCAGATGATATTTGAAGAGGCTCAGCTCAGGCCGGCCATAGAGGGCCCTTTTTTCCTCTTTTTGATGTGCCTTTTGGAAAGACCGAAGTAGGTATTATTGTACATTTGTACGATTAAAATGGAAAAAAAGCCACTTCAAAGATTCAACCAGTTTTGTTGAGTAGGGGATTGGTTGAAGACTTGAAATTTGTTTTAAAATGGAGAAATGAATAGCTAGAACCTAGAAATATAGAGGCCACAAAATATGTTTCATCTGTCTCAAATTGATTTTTCTTTTTTTGAACAATCTCAAATTAATCTTTTTCTTTTCTAAATTGTAAAGTTTTTCGTGGCTCATTTTTTTCTCTTTTTTTACACAATTACATACTTTCATTTTTCATAACTCTGTCAAAGTCAAATTAGTATTATTAATTTAGGACAGAGTGAGTATAATTCTAACTATTTGTGTATTGGCAAATTCTTTTGTAGTCTAAGGTCCACACTTATTTTATAGACATTAGTATATAAATATTATTGATTAATTAAACTCTTTGAAAATAATAAAATATCTTCATGTCGACTCATGAAAAGTGTCGGAAGGTACTTCGTACATATTCCCATGTGGACCTAAAGATTATGAGAGCACAAGTATTGAGTCATCAGGGTAACAAAAAAGTTTAAAATACTTTTTTAAAAAATATAAATGATAAGTTTTTGTATTTTTTGACGTGTTTGTTACTTATTATCTTCATTTTAAAGTTTTTGTTTAGTTTTCACTTTTTTACAAACAAGCACAATCAAACTTTGATCAATAGTTAGATAAATCTTACTGGGTATATAGTATATTGCGGAGCATTAATTAGATAAGTAACAATTTAAAAATATTTTACAAGAAAAATTTAATATGGTTAATTTTGTATTTTTAACCACTTTTATTTATGTACTCCGTATTATTTTAGACGCACTACTATTATATTTCTTGTTCTAACAATTCAATAGTCATATTTACAAATTCAACATCAATTTGGAGAGAATATATCAATAAATATTAATCCACGAATTAATCCTGACGATGGATATATAAAAACCAAAACTCAACTCAAATATTAGATAAATAAAATGGATCAACAATTGGAATCTAGAATGACAAGAGGGCAACAATCGACAACAAACAGCAACGGCGTCAATCTTATCTCCAATTGTGTGTTGTAATGTTATTACTGACAGTGTCCTTTGAGAATGCTTCTTTGGTGTACCATGGGTGCATACCTTTTTTGTGGACCTTCTAAAATAATAAAAAAAGATTTTATCTTGTTAATTAAAAAACAAATGTTTATTTAAGTAATAAGAAATTGTTTATTTTGCTCATATGTAGGTCCATGGTGGCCCTTAGGTCTACCATAGAATTTGCCTTCGGAATGTGCGTAATATATACTACCTCTGTCATAGTGTATTTGATCAGTTTGACTTTTTTGAGTCAAATTTGTCAAATTTTGAGTTTCAATTACTCTTAATTTGTATTACATATTAATTTAATGAAATAAAGTTTTGAAACTTCTCAACACTACAAGATAAATCTAATAAAATTATTTTTATACAAATATACCTTACATTTTTTTAAATTAAACTCAAAATTCATTTAATTTTAACTCGAACCTAGACAAGTAAACTGGGACAGAGAAAGTACTCCATAAGATATTAAAACTATCTATTTTCTTCCCTTCCCCGTATTTAGTACTTTGTGTGTGTGCGCGCGTGCGTGTAGACCGAGCTCGATTATAAAGTCTGCTCCGGTCACTTCGTTTGTTGCACGAACCGTGGCTACTATCGTAACGGTAACCTCACTTGGACCAAATATGACTATGGCTATCCCAGTCAACTCTTTTGGACAACACGCGGCTTCTGCCGTATCGGTCATTTCCTCTTTTGGACCGAATGTGGGTACCTTTGTACCTACACCGGTCGGGCATCCTACTTTCACGATGCCTGCAAACTCTGTCAAGGAACTAGCAAAGTTCACGGGTGTTGACTTTAAATTATGACGGAAAATGATGATGTTTTGGTTGACCACCCTCAACCTTGCAAGGTACTTGAGGGTGGATCTCCCAATTGTGGGGGAAAATGTAGTCGAGACAACAATTCAGGAAAGGGGACATGGAATGTGAATAACTATCTATGCCTTAACCTTATCTTGTGGGTGTTTTGGCTCACCACCCGGAACCATTCTACCGGCCTTCCCCAGGGTGACGAGAAGAATAAGAGGCATTTCTCCGCATCAGTGCATTATCCCACCATCCGTGCGGCATTATGGGAGGTGTCCTTACATCTGGGTCCTCCTTCCCGGTGAACTTCTCTACGTCAAGCTTGATCTTCCTCATCTACCTTTGGGCATGGACTTGCGAGGAAAATGGATATCTGCAAGGGTGTGCTTCCTTTGTCCACTCTTCTCATCCACCTTGTCCTCCAATGCTTGGAGCTTCTGCACTATGCTCCTGATACTATTAAAGTCCTCTTCTCGGTCTTCATATAAGAGTCGGGTGTGTGCCGATTGCTGGGGCTGGCTTTGGGAATCTTCTTTGTCCAAGTGGATTGTCTCCGTGTCCCTGGAATGTCTTGACGGTGCAATGTGAGGATTCCTCCCACCACCGAGCCGATCAAAAGCGCTAGCCCGAGCTGTCTCAAGCCCAAAGTGTAACTTGGCTGACTTGCGGGGCCCGTCCTCCTTGTATCCTAGCCGTTTGAACGTCGAATCTCGAGTCTTGCTTGGTTTGGCGATAACTTTCCCCTCCCTCCGGTGTGCCTCCTCTAGGTCCGTAACATACGGCCTTTAGAGGTGCCTCGGAGATTTGAAGGCCCCACTCCATCTATGGCCGGAGCCAAATTTATGGGGTGCACGAAGCTGATCTGAACATCCTCGGTATGAAAGTTGATGGGGTTGTCCCTAGGACTGATGTGGGACTCACACCTGGAGGAAACATGCAAAGGCATGCAAATGGCGTATAACCCCCCACTTGCTGCATCATGGCCATTACCTGATGATACCCCTGTATGGCTTAAAAGTTTGCTGGATCGGCGACAAACTAGGCCAAACCTAGTTGGAACAACATAGGTGGTGTCACTTCCCCATCCTGGGTACATCATGGTCGTTGTAGGCATCGGAGTGGGGGTCGACATGATCGGCATTATCCCTAGAGATCTGACACTCGTGACTAGAGCAAAAGTCGTGCCCATCCTAATCATCGTCACCGGAGTGATGGGCTTGTAGGATGCCGACACGATCGAGGTGCAGACCATCGAATGAGTGCTGGAAGACATGGTCGTTGAGATTTTCGTAAGATGAATAAAACTGACCTATTGACTTTTTCACAAGTCAGGCCCCACGGTGGACGCCAAATGATGTTGTAAATTTAACCGGGTAAGTTTGACAGGGTACGACCAGGTCAAATGTACTCTACCAAACATGCCAAAACACCGAAAAGTAAGAACACAGGAGATGACTTAGACTAGGAAGAAACTCTTGAGCCCGAAACTATATTTCTTGCTCTATCTCAAGAGTGTACAAGAATGTGTATCAATGAGTGGATGCCCTTCTTCCACCTCTCATCATCTATTTATATTGGGTGGAAGAAGTCAACTAAGGTAAAAAGCCCTTCCTCGGGCGCAATCTTAACTTCAATCGATACCTACATAAGGAAATAGCCCCCTGACCCGCCATCCGCTAGCCTAACCATCAATGAGCGCAAATCTCGTCCTCATTCATGTTGTCCAACGGTTTAGCGTGATCCCCACTCCGTCATTAAGTCCCGGAGATTGCGGGGTAGCATGGCAGGATGGCTCCATGCATGCCTTCACCGAGCATCGCGCCTCTTTTGGTTCATCTCGTAAATCTAACCGTGCCAATTTGCTGAGTTCGTCCTTCAAGCCGACTCTAATAACGACCCTGTAAGAAATTGACCATGAAAACATGATCCGTCATCCTTCATGAGAGAGATGACTGGTCATTTCTTAAATGTCATATGCCACGTGCAATGCCACTTAATATCTATGTTGACCTATCAGCCCATCCTGGCGGGGTATTGGTTACTCCGTATAACTTATACGGCCTTATACCCTTCCCCACTAATTATTAGGAGACGCTCGAATCTCGTAACCTAGAAACGGAGAGAGACGAACTGAAGAGTGTTTTGTCGAAGGGAGTAGCGACTTACGGAGTTACGGTATGAGATTTTTTTTGGTTCGTTGATGAACCGATTGAACCCTAATTCATTATTTCATCAATTTTGTAGCCATAATCCATAAATCACAATGATTTCGTTAAAATTTCTGATTTTTTTCATTTTTTTGAAATTTTCTTGAGTATGATAGCGTCTAGTTTTTGAATTGTAGATGCAATTGCGAAAGATAGCTCATGAATCACGATGATTTTTCTTTTTTTGAATTTTATGATTTTTTATTGGGAAATTTTATGATGTTTAGTACTCCGTAGTATATAAATTATAGAAATTTATTAAATGGAGTATTTAATAAAATAAAAATTGTCTAAATTTATTAAATTGTTTAACAAAAGTAAAATTTTGGAATTTATTGAATTTCATGCAATCCAATGTAATTGTTTAATTCTATGAAATTTATTTTAGATGTATGAGTTGTTTTTTTTACTTCAGATACAATTTATGGAAGTAAATTGGTTCCTTTTAAATGTAATTTATCAATAAAAATACGGAGTAGAAATTAATGATTCAAGTGATGATTTTGCATTGAAACGAGTAAATAGAAATCCCTAAAAAAATATGTAAATAGAATCTCTTTTTAAATGAAATTTTACTTAGGTTTTTTTACTTCATATTTCATTGTAATAAATTAAATACTACCTCCATCCCAGAGTATTTGTCCACTTTCATTTATACACACCATCCAATACACTTCTTTAATCCATTTTATCTTGTAATTTGTATATTAAAAAATTATAGAAATTATATATTAATAATCTATATGTTAAGACAAATCAAACAAGATCACACATGACTATATTTAGGCTTACACATTGAGAGAATTTGATTAGTCAAAGTGCTTAGATGAACAGTTCCAAAAGTCAAAACTGGACGAATACTCCGGGACGGAGGGAGTAATTAATATGATATCGATTCAGTTTTTTATTGGGTGATATGTGCATTTTGTGTTACTCGAGCTAGGGTCTCTAAGAAACAATCTCTCTATTCAAGTAGGGATAAAGTCTGTGAATTGTTGTAATTGTAAGCCTACAAGGTATAATGGGGCAACAACATTTGTTACGCACAGGCCCCCGAAATTTTCAGGACCGGCCCTGCCAATACATATTGTAAAATGGTAAACCAATTTCAGCCAAACTAAGCAAAAGAATACCTTTTTCTGTTCGGAAGCCTAAAGTGGCTTATTTTACTCAATCTGTAGAGTATAGCGGAGTAACTAATTTGGCTGAAATTGATGTTAGCAAACTTCCATCCTCTTAAGAGAATTCAGCCAGATTAAAGTATATCAGCCAAATTAGAGTATATAAGCCAAATAACCCTTAGCAAAATAAGAGAATTGATGTTAGCTCTTATTTTTCGTATTCTTTTATTATCATTACTTGTACTACTAATAAGAATAATAACCCAATCAATGCTACCAAAGTAGCTTTTGAAAAGCTTATTTGGCTTAAGTCAAGGTTCCAACACTTGGGCCAAAGACTATATCGTACATCAAACTAAATTTTCATTGTAACTTCATTTGTTTTTGCTAGAAAACTATTCGATCCACATTTGATATAAATTTTTGGGTAACTATGTAAGGTATTCTGTTAGTTCATAATTTGGATGAGAATAAATAACTATGTAATGCTTTATATTTATTTTATCACTATTATTTTGTAGGATGAAGAGGTTGTGGTTGAAGTAATACTCAGAGTGTAAGAGATGCAGAATATGTGTGTTTGAAATTCTCTCTTTTTTTGTTTATCCTTTTTTGTGACCACGTACTTCTATGTTAGTATGATTGCTTTTGATTGGTGAAATTTTGAGACTTACAGTGCCTTGATACTCTTTTGAATACGTTGTAGTTTGGAAACACCAGTATAGGTTTGCGAGTTTTATGTTAATTTTTTAATACTTGTATTTCATAACTTGTGAAACAACTAAAAAGTTCAATATAACTATTTTCAAATATGAATATTTGAATATAGGATCAAATTGAATATAAATGATTTTTTAACTTGAATAAAATACAGATACAAATTTAAATATATGATACACCAATCAAATACAAATACGTTGATATTTGCTTGGATTGAATTCCTATATATCCCTACTGGTCATGCAATGTTGCTTGATAGAATAAGTATTTGGTGGATTTTCAATCTTGTAGGCATAGAGACGAGGACGGGGAGGCCTTAGTGGATTTTGATGACGATGTCCAGTCCGATCAGGAAACTCAGGAAAACAACCTTTCTGGCAATCTTGAGGATGATGGATGGGACCAGATGGAGCACGAACAATTGCAAACTCCGGTTTATGCTAATGATTACAAATCAAAGTCCCAAAAGCGGTTGATTAAGAAGTCTGATGGGAGAGAGATTGTTCCAGATCATGGGTTTGCAGATGAGGATACTTATGGCGGTGGTTATGATGATGGCATCCCAGAGATGGTAAGGGATGATTCTGATGGACCTGAATCCTCCTATTCTGGCATTGGGAAGAGGAAGCACATTGATGATAATGGTGGGGAAAAAAGGAAAGAAAAGAATCCGAGGGAGAAAGTGGACAAAGGTGGTAAAAAATTTAAATTGAAGAGTGGAGGGCACACAAGTGCACACAGGAGGGGCAAAGAGGGTGATCAGGAGCTGTGGGACACTGTTGCTGGTGGTGATTCTGAGGTTTGTGGATCAATTGCTTCTTTATTAACTACGAGTATGTGTGAAACAAAATTTGTTCCATTTATTTGTTCATATTTTACAGTTTACATGCTAAAACAGGATAGGTATTGAAAGAGTAAAATTTAAGATACTGGTATAACTAACCTACAACTCGAATTTAAAAATGTTGACGTAAGTGTAAAATTCTAAAGTTTATTGGCAAACAACTCAAATGTATTTAACTAGAATGCTATCAAACACTTCATATATTTCAAGATATAAAGGGATTGAATATATAAAAACAACACAGTATTTAGAGCAACACACAATAATGAACTTCACTCATTGGCAACCCAATTTTTGAGTAATGTATTCCCGAATGCTAGCTCATCAAGTGAGAGTTAAAAGAGAACTCTAAAATTCTTGCTAAAATTCTTACATCATCAAACAATTAATATGCATCTTCACCAACATCCCACATCTTTCCCTTTATACCCTCATATTCAGCAGAATTATTTGATAAAAGACACAGATTGTTGTGGATGAGAAAGAAATCTTTTGCGATATGTAACTTGGACCTTAATCATCCTTAGTGAGTGAGTAAAGAATATGTACTTCATATTTGTTCACAATGCTTCGTGAGTAAAGAATATATGTTTTGTAGGATCTTACGATTCGATTTATGATCTTACGAGTTATGATCTTTATGAAGCCTAGCGATCCTAGGTAGAATCTCGAGTTTGACTACTATGCTTCTGTCTTTTACCGAGGATACTATTGAGGATATGACCTTAGATAGGAGTGTTTGGAGAGCTAAGACTAAGGTGGTCAAGTAGGCGTTTGGGCTTGGTGGCTGTTTTGGAACTTGTCCTTCTATGCTTTCTTTGTTTGGTGCTTTCTTCTTTCTGCTTAGTGAATGTCTGAATGTTTTTTCCTTCGTTAGCCTTAGTTTGCTTTTGAGTACTTTTTTGCTCTATGCGGTGCTCTCTTTGCTGCATGTATTACGCAAGCTGGGGTCTCTTAGAAACAGCTACCCTACATTCCAGTAGTAGTAAGGTTTGGGTACACACACCCTCCTCAGACCCTACTGGGTTGATGTTGTGTTGTACCATTGTTGATTAAGTGCTAGATACACTGTGTATTGTGTTCCTGACTAAATATTACTCCCTCAGTCCAAATATTTCTTTCCCGATTTGACTTGACACGGAGATTAAGAAAACTTAAAAAATGTAAAGACTTTTCATGTTTGCCCTTGATGTGATGGAATAAAGTGAATAGTGTAGATAAAAAATGGGGGTATAATGACACATTTATTAAAAGTTTTTTGCCAAAATAGAAAACAAGAAAGAAATATTTAGACTGCCCGAAAGGGAAAGCGAGAAAGAAATTAATGGATGGAGGGAGTAATTTTTGAAACAAATACTGTGGATCCGCTAAAGACCCATTTACCCATTGGACATGGGTAGCGTATGGGTCAAAACAAAAAATAATAGAATGGATCTGGGTTCGCGTGGATCCTTTACAGTGTCATCTCTACTAAATACTAAATACACTATCATATTTGATGTGGTGATGTCCTCTTCTAAATTTGGTTTATTCAGTCTTAAAATGTGTCAAAAGAGACTGATTGTTGACTAAATATTTTGCCTGTTTATATATTCATTAGCTATTGTGACTACTCATCTGCATCTCTCATTTGTTTAGTACTCTAACTCAACCCACATATATGATAAATATGGTATGAAGTTATCATAAATATATATTTGGTAAACTAGGTAAATGAATTCCTTTGTTTGGGCTATCCAGTTATGTCCTGAATCCTTATTTCAACTCAAAATTAAAATGCTTCTCAAGGTGTTGGTTGTTAATGTTCTTATAAAAGGGAACATGAGTTTCCCAATGCACAAATTGAGAATGCACTTCATTTAATGTTGACATGAAGGCACTAAATTATTTTATTTGTTTTTTGAGGGCTGTAGGATGATCGCGATGGTGTCAAGACAATGAATGATGACAACTTCATAGATGATAGTGGTTTGGATCCTGCAGATAGGTATGGAAGTGATCATGAACCACAATCTCCTGGAACCTATCCACAGGTGAGAATACTACTCTTTATGGATTTTTATTCTCTTCATTTGCTTTGGAGTTTACTCATTACTACCCCTTGCCTCTAACTGTTCTACGCACTTTTCTTTTCCAGACATCTGAAAAATTCCTTCTGTTTTCCCTTTAAGAAAGAATTGTGGTTGATATTGAATCTTTCCTTTCGTAAATCCCAACCCGCAATTTCACTCCCTTTGTCCGGATTTAGTTGTCATCTTTCCTGCTTTTGTGTGCCCAAGTCCCACGATCAGTTGTCCACTTTTCATATTTATTAAACACATTGCAATGAATTAGCTAAAATACCATCCAAATGTATTAGCTTTGTTGACGTTAATGATTGACAAGCCCATTTATTGGGGTTTTTTAATATTTTACCCACTTGGAAATTATACATTACTGTGGTGTCACAGTTACTAGTCATTTTTTTTGCCTTTTGTGTTATATTATTGCCAGGCAGAAGAAGGTGAAGAGGACGATGAAATAAAGGAACTATTCAAGATGGCAAAGAAAAAGAAGAAAAATGAAAAAAGTGCTCATGAAATTTCATTATTAGTTGAAAATGTAATGGCTGAACTAGAAGTTGTTGCAGAAGAAGATGCTGACTTGAATAGACAGTCTAAACCTGCTATCATTAAACTCAAAAAGCTGCCTCTTCTTACTGATGTCCTGTCAAAGTGAGTGCATATTGTTTTAAATATATGGAGGTCCCTTCTCATAATTTGCTTGATTGTAAGTTTCCAGTGGCCTATCTTTCTCCACTAATTTTCAGGAAACAACTTCAACAAGAGTTTTTAGACCATGGAGTGTTGACGCTTTTAAGGACTTGGCTTGAGCCCCTTCCAGATGGAAGCCTGCCCAACATAAATATTCGTGCAGCAATCTTAAAAATCTTAACAGATGTATGGAATGTGAGATTTCATGTGAGATTACCTTTGATGCTTTGTTATAATTCTTTAAACTGGAAATGTTTTGTCATACTGCAGTATCCAATTGATTTAGAACAGTATGATAGAAGGGAGCAGTTGAAACAGAGTGGTCTTGGAAAGGTGAGTCAAACATAAGAAGATCATGCTATTACATTTATTTTGACTGCCACCCTTTTACGAAATATCTCTTTATAATATCTACTTGTTGGCAGGTAATCATGTTTCTTTCAAAGTCGGATGAAGAGACCACGGCTAATCGGAAACTTGCTAAGGACTTGGTTGATAAATGGGTAATTTTGATTTATATTATTTTTTTATGTGTATTAAGGCTGTGTTTGAGTTCCAGAAAATGCTTAGGGCAAGGAAAAAATACAATGCAATGAAATATGGTTAATTTTTTGGTTGTCCAAAAATTATCTTTCCATTTCTATTTTGGTTGCCCCTCCTATCTTTTTCTTCATTTACTTCACCCCACAGTCAACTACTTCGATTATACGAAGTATCACCTCCACTGGACAGGCTCATCAATTTACCTTCTTCTTTGATTTCAAAAAAATAAAAATCTTCTTCTTCTTCCATTTTCATATCCCACAACCCACTGATTCTTCTTTTTTCTTTTCACACCCTCAACGTTAGTGATTTATTTTTTTTCTTCTTCGATTGATTCCCCCCTCACCACCACCTCCATTACCCAATTGAACATAGTTGGATCTAAGGGTGGAAAAGTGTGTCAATGGCTTATGCAACTGTGAGAGTGGGGGATGGAGGAGCAGCTTCATCGACAAGCTTCACAAGCAACGACCATCTGACTATTGGTGAAGATCTGAGCACGAAGATCCAAAGATCTAATGAAGGTGAAGATATGAAGATCTGATGAGCAGCGACTTCATCGGTGAACATCATCTCGGTGAAGATCCGAGGAAGAGGTGCTTGTGGGAGCGATGGAGATTTGAAACATGAAGTTCACAGATCGGATTGAAGTGGGGAGGATGAATGGTTGACAGAAGAAAGACTGTCAAGAAAAAGGTGGAGACAGGGGTATTATAGGAAAGTCAATGAAAAAAATCAACTTTTCTTAAACTCCCTGCCCGGTCAAACCGGGATTTTTTTTGGACGGAGGGAGTATATGTTTTCGTATTCATTATGTAATAGAATTTCATAAATAAAATGAGGTTGAACAAATAATTTTTTTATGTTCGGACACATGGTTTCTTTTCTCTTATGTTCTTCCTAATTCTGTTCATATTTTCTTTCCCGAGCATTTTGTATTCCAAACATAAGGTTGATATTTTTCTATTATTTTATTTTTCTTGTGTATAAAGTGTTAATGCGAATAAAATGCTCATAGATCTATCAACTTTTGATAAGGTACAATTTCTGATGGTTCTAAGTTTCTAAGTCATCTGTTCAAATTCAAATTGTTTGGGAAATGACTTGGATGTCATCACTATTGTAGCTAATATTGGAAAAATTATGTGTGCTATTAGTCTATTGTTAGATATCCGGGAGCATCAACGGAGACTTTCCTTAGCCCACAAAAGGAAAGACGGATCAGGGGAATAAATCCAAAGTGTGGTGACGTTATTAGGGTTGAATCCACTCCTTCGCCCTTCCCTAAAGCCCAAACCAACACCAGGGCTGTCCTACACCCCACCTAGGCCGAACCAACACCCCCCATCCCTTCCCTAAACATCCAAAGTTCCTTGTCATTTGATTCCTTTCAAAATAATGTTTTCCTACACTTATTTTTAGCCTATGGCAGAAAATAAGAGTGTGTAAACCAAAACCTTTTGTTTATTGTTATTTCCCTTTTTTCCTTTCTTTCTTTGGCCAAACTTAGGGCATCCCATGAACCCCATATCACCCCTAATACACCCCTGGCAGAAGTTCTTTGCATAAACCACAACCAAACAAAACACTTCAATTCCCTCATTTGAGAGCCGAGGATACCAGGCCAAAACCACTCCTTTATTTCACACAATAAACCCACCATTAACCCCTCTTTTATTCCCCAACATTGACCAACCATTGTCCCCCTTGTGTCTCCCACCTAGGCTGAATAAACAATAACAAAAGGACAAAAGACTTTTGTGAGTTTATTGACACTCCACCCACCAAATTAGTCCCCACATACCTTCCATGAATGACCCAATATAAGGCCAATAAAACCAACCATCACCCATCCCCTTTGTCCCCCATTATTTCCCAAGAATCATCACTTATTTCCTTGTGATTTTCCTCACTAAAGGACAAGCCACCAGCCATGAAAATCAAAGACCAAATCCCTGATTTCATTCCATTAAGAAAACATAAACAAATGGATATTATTCTTGTGATTTGTGAGTGGATGTTTCTGGGAAGTTTCCCCCCTATGTGTGTGTATTTATTTCGGCCTTAGGCCATTTTGTGAGACTCATATTGTAATTCCATTTTCCATTTAGTAATACACTTGTTGTGTTTGCTATTTAAATTCCTAAATCTATATCTTAAGAGTGGTTATCTTAAGTGTGAGTTTTAGGTTCTAGATATTTAATTAAGTGTGT